GCCCGTCCAGCTGCTAGGCTGAATCTCCTGCTGCTACTCACCACATCCTTGGTGCTATACTCTCTATAGATCTACACATAAAGAAAGGACTACAACATAATCTCGATGTTTAACGACAATGTTTACCCTATCCCCTTCTTTTTTTTCATTCTGTACCCTAACCACCCATACCAATCATTTTGAAGGTGCAACTCAGACCTTTACACAGCAAACGCAATGCTTAGGTGTAATATTGCACTCTGCCCTTTCTTTTACTCCTGACATAAACGTCCGCTCCAGTTCTTGATGCTTTTATTTAAAAATTTGGCTTGCTTTCATCTTTTGTCACCAAAGTTCTTGTACTTATCGTCCAATTCGACTACTGTAACTCACTGATCTTCTACTTGCACACATCACCATGTACAATCCATATTCAACAGTTATATAGCAAGTAAGTGTGTAGTGGAGATCCACATTACTTATAACAAAGGAGTGGGCTTTAACCCCTTAAGGACCAAACTTCTGGAATAAAAGGGAATCATGACATGTCACACATGTCATGTGTCCTTAAGGGGCTAAATATATCAATAATAAAATATAATGAAATTAAATATCCAATATGTATCACACATACACTGTATATTCGGTTTTCCTAAAGTTGTGACATTCCAAATGCCAGTGACAGACAGACCAGTAACTTACACGTTTCTGAGTGCAGAATTGGCTCTAACTAATGTGCTGTATAGGTCCTTTCCCTCTCAGGTTGTCTGGGAGTGGTGGAATAATGATCCATCCCGTCTCTTGTTTACAGAACATCTTTTAAGCTGTTTCATTCGAATGGAATGTCCTACATTGCCATATACACTTTTACCCAGTTTACTGGTTTCACAAATCGTTTGACAGTATTCCTTATAAGCATATATCAAAAAGTAAAGCCAGCCCTGCAACAGTCTAACAATGTCTAACACTATCTAGCCTTACATCGCTTTAAGTCCCACTGTCTGCTCTATAAATGTCAATGTAACATACGTTAAAAAAAAGCATATAGTTTGCTATAAACATTACACCTGGCAATCTATCTTCCAGTCTGGAGTCTGCATACACTGCACTTTACCTTTTGTGTAACTTTATTCCACTTCATTGAGACGGTAGGCTTGTTTGAGCAGGGCCCTTATCACCTCTTCATCCCATTTGCCTCAATTTGTCATAATTTACTTGTATGTTTTGTTTAGCCATTGTACAGCCCTGCAGAATATTTTGTCTTTTTGTAAAAATAATAAATAATAAAATCTTCAATACATTAAAGGGTCACTCTAAGCAATATGGTGTAATGGTTTTGTTACCAAGAGCCTGCTGGTGCTGTCTCCAGTTTAATGTCAAGCCATTTAGGAGCAGTTTGACATAAATTATGGCTCTCTCTGAAGATGTATTCACCTTGTACACATTAATAATGTGGAATTAACACTTCCCTGTAATCTGAGGCAATTCTGTCTAATTTAAACAGCAGTGACTGGCTGAGAGTGGTTGGGTTATGAAGTTACTCTCAGCCAATCAGTGACATGTACAAAATTGATACTGAAAATGCACAAGTATTAATTACACATTATCAATGCAGCAAAAGGTAAGTTTTCCTGGTGCCGGGAAGAGCCGTGGTTAATGGTTTTGATCAAGCCTTATTAAATGGCTTGACATTTAGAAGGGGCAGGGTATCAGGGCACAATATGCAATTTAACCACTACACTGAATTTTATTAATTATGCTTTTTACACTGCTCTAAAATTGGTTTTAGCTCAATCAGATTTATTCTAATTTACCTGACCACTAGAGGCTTTCATTCACGATGTGGCTTTGTCAGGCTTTATAATCAATACTCCTAACTGCTGATTAGTGTTTCCATATGCACATGGTCGTTGTTCAACCATTTCTGGACTCATTGAAATAATATAAAAGGCCATCTTGGCCATAGTGTGGTTTTTTGAGCCATTAGGTTTCTTTGTGATTGATTTTCTCCTAGTTACTTCCATAATAATAATGATAATTGTTTCTTTTCTGTGATATCTGGTACCTGAGACTTGGATTTGGGTCTGTCCTTTCTGATTATTTGATCTCGGTTATGCATGATGACTATTCTGTTTGCTTGTAGGTTCACCATTTTCCACCTCCCTGTAGGCATTCAATTGTGGCTTTAGGGATGGATAGTTTTCTTTGGGTGATAAAGCGTTTCTGCAGTCCGTTGTGATTTTAAGGTGATAGACTAAGCATTGGTTTTTTTCTTCTTCTATAATTACAGTTAGATCATCAGCATGAACCTTGTCAGTTCCCGATGGAAATTTTTGCTGAACTTTATGACAATATCAACAATACAGTCAGGATCTTAACATTCTAGAATGGTGAAGGTGTTTTGTTACACTTGAGTCCCACCGGGGCAAGTGTTAAAGATACAACAACTGACATCGTTAAGGACTTTTTGGAAACATAAGAGTAAGCAAGTTGACCTGCTCTTACATAGACTGACCCTATCGGAAAATTTTAAAACCAGAAAAATTCCTTCAGGGCTTACATTTAAAAAAAATAAAAGAACCATAAATCAGAGGAATAACAAACCTCACTGGCGTGAAATTTTAAATCAGTGCTGCAGAAAATTTGACTAAGTATAAATAGATGGATGTCATCACTACAAAGCTGGAAGAAAGCTAACCTCCAAATAAGCCAGTCATAAAAACCAGCATTCAAAAAAAATGTAACATCTTCATTATCATCATTCCAAAAAGCGCTCATTAAACTCATTTTTGCACTTGAAACCAGCCACATAATCAATTGTTTTGCTCTTCGAGCAGATCACATCAGAGATATCGTTAGTGCAGTCAAATACTATGTTTCAATTCGATGACCATTAATGCATCAGTGACGAGAATAATAATGCTCACTTTTATAGGAAAAATGTCATTATAGAAATGGTACAATACAGTGATGAACAGAGATACATTGCAAGACCGCAGCTCCATTAGCTCTATTTACAACAAATAATAATGAACTATCAGTGCCATTTATAATGAGTAATATTTGCATTTACTGGTATAAATTCTATCTACACCTAACTGAATCCACACCTAACTGTGAACTTGTTATCCACAGGATTTGAGTATGGTAGGTTCATTTTATGAAACTGTACCCTCCCATCTGCACGTTCTCCTGTTTACACAAGCATTTTCTCTATGTATGGCACAATGTGAGTACCACTAATGTAAAGGGACACTCCAGATCTCTAAAGCAGTCTGCATCGTATCCTTGTATCACATTATCTGTCTCACTTCCTCCATTCTACAATACTCCTTTTTTTGTTTTTTGATTTCTGTAAATGTGTGCATCTCCCTTTCTGCCCCTCTTTCCTAAACCTGCAGTTTCCAATGATACAGCTGTGAGTTGTGGTCAAGCAAACAGCTTTCATAAATAGAAAGTTGATAACTGAACTACACATCCCAGAAATTAGTATATATTTGTCTTTTATTAATATGTATTTGTTGTCTCAGCATGTATGTATACATGTATATATATTTTTTTATCTTTTTAAACCATGATCTATACAATTAATTAAAAAATTTTTTTTTAAAGAATTGAGCACTACAGAACTATGCAACCCTAAAACTGACTCTGCACACCTACATACATAATTTATCATACGGTTTATTCAGTAAAATCCGAATTGCACCAATGAAAAAAAAAAAAATCCAGTTGTGTATGGGGTTATATGGACTGCAAAATCATGCAATTTAGCAATGTCTGGATTTTGTAATTCAGAATGCTTCAAATCTGGGCCTGGAGGCTTCAATCCAGGTCCAAATTTAAAAATAAAAATCTGAACTATCTGCCAGTTGACAAATAGTTTAAAAAACAACCTTGGTGGCATTAGGTTTAACTATGCCCCTTGCTCTGTTCCCACCAATGGTCAGCGAATAGGTTATTTTTTAAAATTTTATTTTTATTCAGAAGGGAGGACGTAGTGTCCCATCCCTGGCCCCCACCCGTTTGGCGGAGCGAGTGTGGGGACTAATGATAATAATCAAGGTTGAGGATCTCCCCTCCAAACTCCCACACACACACCGGCATCAGATCGGGCTCTAATTGCTTAAATAATAGGGGTTGGACATGTTATAGCAAGTCCATCTCCCGTACCCCCTGGTGGCTAGACATTTCCAATACCCAGCCACTCCCCATAAAAAATCAAGGTCACTACTTACCATCCTCACCCAAATTACAATGATGGGGGGGACCAATAAATCTAATGTCTGTTAATATGCAATATGAGTAAGAGCACTGATTGGTTGGCTAGCAAGTCAACCAATCTGAGCACTCTGACAGCCAAATCATGAGAGAAGTGCAAATTCACCAATTTTATTCCAGGCACGGAATGCATACAGGCAAGTGCTGCAGATTCGCTCAGGCCGACCAAATTCTGATCGCATTTGGCTGTAGTAAATATTAGAGTTGCCAATGTGGTCAGAATTCAGTAATTGTCACAAAATTTTGTCTATTCGCAAAACATTGGTGTTTTTACTGAATGACCCCCCCATACTGTTTGAAATGAAGATGTATCCACTACTACAAACTGCCAAGATGTGCATTCTGTTAAATGTTGTCAATTAAATATTTTTAAATAAGACAAATATGACCTTATCATCCCTTTGGAAATCTACTGCAAATAAAAAAGTAAATTGTGCGGTGTACGTCCTTACAGAGATTTAGCTATACTCTTGTCCACGCCAAAAAGCTATGATTTTTTTTTTTGTTTGATGCAAAATAACCTTAGTAAACAAGTTATTGTATCTGGAATCTAAAAATAAAGATAATTCCTTTAGATAAAAAGGCCCACAAAAAAAACAAAAAACTGGGGCGTGGCTGCAACGCCGAGGAGAGAAGACGCATGTCGGATAAGCTCCCGCGGTGGGCATAATAAAACGCAAGTACTGGGGCACCTACCTACCCTAAACCAGCCCAGACCGGGTCAAACATTACAGCGCACAATGGGGAAGAAAGCCAAAAAGCTAAAAACCCTTACCGGGAACGGCTCCCGCGATATTGCCGACCTCCTACAACCGCGGCCTAGGCCCAAAATGGCGCCACAAATAGACGCATATTCTACATCCTCTGAGGAAGAACTCTTAGACGCACCCGATGAAATACCCTGTTCAGGGAGCATGCACAGCCCTCAAAGAGAGGAAGATCTAACAGCCCCAGCTACAAAAGGGGACATCAAAGCTCTGTTAACAAACATAAGAGCCTTCTTCAATGCAGACTTGAATATCATCCGTGAGGATATAACAGTGGTGACAGCAAGACTGCAGGCTAATGAGGATGCCATCACCTCCCTAGCCCAAAAGCAAGAAAGCACCAACGAGCACTTGCTACAGCTTCAAGCAGCACATAAAAGCATGCAGGTCAGACTGGACACCCAGGACGACGCAAGGAGGCGTAATAATCTTAAAATCAGGGGTATAGCCGAATCAGTTACCGAACAGGAACTGCCCCATTTCTTACGCCGGCTATGGACTACCCTATTGCCGCAGCGCTCCGCGAAGGGCATTCAGGTAGACGGCTGCTACAGACTGGCCAAGTCAAATAGGGCCCCGGCTGGGGTTCCCCGAGATGTCCTGATACGTTTCCCGCTACTTCGCGACAAGCTGGCCCTGCAGGATGCTGCAAAATCCAGAACACCTCTTAAGTTTGAAGAAATGCAACTCCAACTTTTACAGGACTTATGCCGCTCCACTCTGGAATGGAGACGGTCTTTTCAACAGGTGATAAAGATCCTACGCTCTGCAGACATCAGCTACAAATGGGGGCCCTCTCGTGCTCTACTAGTCCATAAAGACGGGAGCATGCATCAGCTTTCCACCGCCGAAGACTCAGCAACATTCCTACAGGGACTGGGACTTACCATGTCTTCTGACAACACGGCACGTCCAAGCCACAGATGGGACGTCCGCAGAATTGTCCCTTTTATCCCACGCTCTGCAGATGACACCGGCTGAATGTGGATGCACCAGCAGTCACACGGACCTGGACTGATTCCCACACCAGTACCAGATACCGGTCAACCCCTGATGTTTAAAAGTTTAAATGTTATCGTTTTTAATGTTTCGTTAGTAGGCAGCGCCGCCCGGCACTGTTAGAGTTCCCGGGTTATAGATACTATAGATGACCCTAGGCGACCGCACACTTCTTCCAACATGTCCCGATTAGAGGACACAGACAACGGAGATTCCCCTCCGCTCACCCCCCCCAACACTCTGGGGTAAATGAGTGTAAATCGACAACCAACACACCCGACTGACCACGACATTGTCTACGTGTAAGACAAGACCACGGCTTCCTTACATAAGACCCACAGGGCTAGATCACACTCCTAGGCCCACGGTCTTGGCACCGTTATCACGCCCTCCATTACTTAATGTAACATGTAAACATGTATAAGATAACATACCACAGCACACTCTTACCTGACACAAGCACTAAGGGTAGTATTAAGTCAACTCGTTAATTGTTAACTACCTCAATTTTAAAAATACCTTACTGCTCTTTATTGTGCTAAGGCTATCGAAGTATGGCATGCGAGAGTTGTCGTGGTACAGCTCCGGTAACATTTTTCAAATGTTCTTGATTATGATGTTTTTATTTTGTTTTCTTATGCTCTGTGGGCAGAACGGAGCTACCTCCAACCAAGAAAATAGCTACCAGTACCCAGTGGCACAATTGAAGCATTGTTCAGCATAACAACCCAGCATGTCTAGAGTGGCTGACCGCTCTATGCATCTCCTCATACGTTACTCACCGTACTACCTTACAATGCTTAGCCACAGGCCTATGTTTAAGCAAAGGTCAGCCACTCTCCCTTCACAGTAGCTCCAGATATATACCAGTCAGCCTGAACTCTTAGCATACCATAAAAACTTAAAATGTGCGATATATACAAATGCCATAACCCTGTTTTATATGTCTTGTTATCAATCTGAGCGCAGAAGCTGTTGTGGCTTACTGAACACTATGTCTTTCTTTGCACGCTATAAATAAAGAATTAAAAAAAAAATTTAAAAAAAAAACTTTTTTTTGCGATAAGAGAAGGTTTTTTTTCCCAATTGTTCATTCTCTCTCAAACTATTTTCTTTAAGATATTAATTACAGTACTTTTGAAAGGGCTCCTAATCATAATGAAATTCTTTTCACGTCCTTGGTGCTGCAGAGGAGTGCAGATATTGATCAGAATACATAATAAACTTTCTTGTTTTTACTATAATGTTGATAGTTTCTTTTATTTTTCCATTTTAATTTCTGCCTCCTCTTAATAAACGATGTATAAACAACAGCTTCAAGATGGACTTTTAACCTTTCTAAAGTAAAGTCAATTCACTAAACATTTAATTATTATGAACTGTACCTTTAAATGTAAAAAAAAAATGTACCCAAACACAGAGTTGTAACAAACACATTGTGGGTGTTTTTCACTAAACATCTGGAAACAAAAAAACAAACAAACAAAAGTATTTCTTAGTAGATTCTGACACGGAAGGGAGTATGGAGTGACATGATATCTTAGTTAACTGATATTTGACTTTTAATAATAATAAAATAATTGGATCACCATAAGAAATATAAAATAAATGTGTGTAAGGAGGTGGCATTGGGTATAAAATGTTCAGTATCAAGTGTCCTTGTTAATTGTTACACTATCAATCACTTAGAAACAAGTTTAGTGTTTCCACTTAGAAAGTGTCACATGTAGCAATAGACGGGACTGTGATTACTCACCAATATATAAATGAGTGAATCGCATTTACCACTAGAACTTAAAGGAACACTATGGTGTCAGGACTACAAAGGTTTATTCCTGACACTATAGATGTGAAAAAAACATTTAGGTGACCAGCCCCTCTTGCCCACTCTCCCCCATGAAAAGGGTATTGTTTACATTAAAATGCCTGCAGGGACAGTCTATAGACATAAGAAGCAATACATTAACCTGACAGAGCCACTTTAATATGGTACAGTGAAATTAAAGTGAATTTACAAGCGTAAAGGTTTCTAAAGGTAACTATAGAATAAATTTAGTACTGCCAAAAATATTATTTTGTTTCCTAAAATACAACTTTATTCTAGCTTCAACATATTGAAACGACTAGACAATTCTGCCCTCCATAGACTGATCTGAACAATTTTTTTATGCTGTTTATCTTCCCCAAAAAGTCATCCCAGGAACCCCGGATTAACAAGTCTAAAATATTCACTGCTTTTTTTAATAAAATTGCAAAGTCCCTTTTTAATAACATTTATGTAATTACCGTTTCTTTAAAAACATTATGTACATACAAAGCCATTAATCACGTGTTTATGTTTTTTTGAGATGCTTATCTGGATTTGTTCAGAGCCCAGTTTGATTTCAGTGAAAGCTGCTTTGAGTTTGTTTGGGAAATACGTTTTTTGGGAGCTTGTCCAAGGTATGTAAGGAATTAGTATAACAATACGTTGACTTGCGTTGTACTGATTGTGTCTATTGTAAAAAGGCAATAATGGCATCAGGGTGGAAATATGATGTTTGTCACCCAACACTACAAAATTAATATTTCATTAAGATAAAATCTTTAAGAAATACTCACATTGACTGTGTTGGAATTTCACTGGAATTCCACCCCAGTTGAAAGACATACTAAGATAAAGTAGGGAATACTTGACAAGCTTCACAAAACGGCAGACGGGTAAGTGAAAAGAGGTTCTTTCAACAGGGAATCCCGTGAACCATGGACCTCAGTGTTGGACTCTTCCGCATGTCTGAGAGTAAAGCGGTTCCTGGAAGGTGAAACGCCAGGAGCTGAATAGGACAGTACAGAAGATCATGGCAGCAGCCGCGAGGAACAGGTTCAGATAAGTATAACTTGCCTTACCATGCACCCCCCTGCCACCGTACCCCAAATTATACAAAGACCCTAGACAGTAAAAGAGAAGCTTTAATCAGATACAAGCTTGCCCTTCTTTTCATTGTTCACTGATCTGTCATACACTGAGACACACCAGCCATATGGAGTTCCTAGAAAAGATAGAAGGACATTAAAGTGGAAAAGAGGAACAGGGGGATTTGGGCCAAACATGGGGAATGTCCCTCCTAAACAGAGGTAAGTGGGAGTTATGTATCTAAGCTTAAAGAGACACTATTGTCACCAGAACAACTACAGCTTAATATTGTTCTGGTGTCTATAGTCTGTTCTTGCAGGATTTTCAATAAAAACTGCCTTTTAACAGAGAAGGCAGTGTTTACATTACTGCCTAGTGGAAGTCACTCAGACGGCCACAAGAGTTGCTTCCTGTGTCAGTTCTGCACCATGTACAGCACTGGCATTTAACATCTCCACGCTCTGCAAGGAGCTGAAGTTCCCCATAGAGATGTGTTGATTCATTGCAGCATTTTGCCGTGCTTTCTTGTGTAAAAGCATTGGATTGACTGAGATTATCAAAATTGATTATCCCAGCCGTGAGAGTAAAATGACCTTTTCAGAGCGATCTAAAGGGGGCCTAAACATCCACACAGATATTGTAGTTTCAGGAATACATGTTCGTATTCCTGATATTATAGTGTTTCCTTAATGTTTAAATATATGCATATAATATCCAGCACCCCTTATAGTGGTACCGATATCCCTTTATTGGCAGCCCAAAATATGCTTTGCGTTACCAATAAAGGAATATCATTAATATTTAGTAGTTAGTAATACAGTTAGTTATTAATACAGGCCTCTCATAATTCAATTCTGGTTCTGCGCTGTAACAGTTTGCATAATGGATCTTATCAGAGTCCGATGCAGGAAGTAGTGTGAACCTCCATATATCCCATAAATCGCAACAGAAGGGGAAAAAACTAGACATGTGCAATTCATTTCGGTCCAAATATGAATTCGGACGAATTTCGGACAATTCGGACATTCGGGTACTTCCGAATGTCCAAACTGCCGAAGTGCCGAGGTCCTGAAGTTCTGAAATTACCGAATTTCCGAAGTGTCAAAGTTCCGAAGTGCTGAAGTGTCGAAGTGTCAAAGTGCCGAAGTTCCGAAGCACAGTATTGCCTAAGTACTAATATACTTACCCAGCGAAAGAAGAAGAATGTTACATTGTATACAATTTTAAATAAAAAGTATACAAACATAGCCAGGATTCAGCTGTAAGCATTTGCAACACTTACAACAATCAAGTAACACACATTCATATAAAATGTAAGTTACTTAGCCTGTCAATGTAATGACAGGAATGAATAAGTAGATAACTCCCTAATTCCCACGGTATTAGGGAGTTATCTACCAAAAGGCTGAAAGACCTAAATTGGTCTTTCAGCCAAATTTACTAATACTAAGTAAAGATCTACTAAGCGGCTGCAAAAGAAGTCCCGAAGTGCCGAAGTCCCGAAATTCCGAAATGCCGAAGTTCTGAAATTCTGAAGTTCCAAAGTGTCGAAGTGCCGAAGTTGCCGAATTTCCGAAGTGTTGAAGTTCCGAAGTGTTGAAGTGCTGAATTGCCGAAGTCCCGAATTGCGAAAATCACGAATTTCGGAATGCCGAACCGAACCGAAAATTTTCCCCATGCACATGCCTAGAAAAAACTACTTTGGGCCAGTATACACTTAGTGGCTTTCCGGTTCTTTACCTCTATAATTTATTGGGACCATTACGAATATCTCCTGAGCCACCCATTGACGCTTGGCCATTGCTCCCACCTGACATTTGACGAGTTGCAAAATTCCCTTAACATGAAAAGCTTACGATTATCATAGCAGCCACTGTGATGGTGGCCATCCATTTGCTCTTGTTCAGATTAGCTACAACTAATTTGTCCACTACCATCAAATGGATCTTTTTATCATTTATGGGTGGTTGAGAGCATTGAGTTGCCCGTGAATTGCCAGTAATTTAATCTATCGGTGAACAAATTCTGTCAATACTATAACATCAGCACAAAACCATCAAATACAGTACAGTACATGCAGGGCTAAAAATTTCCACTAGCCATTGGTGAGTCAAAATGTAGCCAGG